ATGTATATATATATATATTATATATATATATATCTTTATTGAGCGCCTTACTGAAATCTCTGAGAGCTTGAAGGAGTACTGTTTTCCTCAAATCCGACCCATCGTATCTGGTACATATAAATGGTCCTTGTAATCATGTTGTAAAATATTATAAATGTTCTTAGTAGGTGCCTCAGTTGAACAAGTACTAGACATTGACGTGAATCAATATAGGTATGCATAAAAATCGAAAACACAACTGGTGAGGCACCAAAACTGTATGGGCGACACTTCAACCATGAAGACACTTTAGTCAGTAGGGTAGGTTTTTTCATTCCTTGCCAAGGCTGTTCAAATTATCTCTTGAAAAATGTAAGTTTGTAGTATAATTCCATTATTACGGTAAGATAGTGTTTTTGAAGTAAGTTGTGAAGGTCCGGGAATTATTTGTAATTATAATGGCTACTTAATCATCCAAATCGTCCCTAAAAACCTCCAAAATAATATATTCACTTCCAGATTTCTCGCGATTCGATTGATGCATGTAAAACGTACTTCCGCGACGATCTTAGTCGCGCTGATTGGCAACTAGTGGTTGAACTCAAACGTCTTTTAGACATACACTAAATATGCTTCATTGCCAATAATATTATCAGTTTGTGACCTTCTGGAATTTCTTTTACATTCTTTCCGATAGTTTTATCGCATTCATGAATAATGAATGTAAAATATCTGTACGGCGTTGATTAGAGCTAATAATTTTGTTAGCTTACCATTTGAACAATGCCTGTGTTTCTTTCTACTCCTTTGTATGGACTTTTTGCTTAAGTTGTTTCATTCATATCTTTCCATTGCATCGTTGGTGGGTGCCTCCTGCGGTATTATGCTAATTATTTCTAGTTTTAGTCTGGTGGAGTTTTAACATGCGATAATATACGATTTCTATGGAGTCGTCAGTCATCCGTTTTTCCTTGCTTTCTGCTCTGCAGCGAACTCTTGTGGACGAGTAAATTATTACGGATAGTTGTAATTTCAACAACTCATTTAAGCATTGAGTGCATTATAGGGAGTATGCACAATTGCTTCATAATGTGAGTTACAAGTCATAATATTTTGGCGAGGACTCGGAGATGCTAGCAGAAATCCATTGCAGTGTTAGGTAGATTCGTACCCTTTTTTTCAATTTTTCAATCCAAAAACCAGAAGTTGTGGCAACTATATGTCATTCATAAGGAGAGGATTTCCTATAAGATTACTATGTTTGGCTAACTGATTCCTGAGGAGTTCGCACAGAAGCATATTTAGGGTTCACGAAAATCGTTATGATTCCGTATGCTAAGACGTTTCCCTGGGATAACGATGGGTATACACCAACGAATCATGGATTCGCCTGCGCACGATAGGATCTTACTATGTAATTTTACGTGGACAGTACATGGTCAGAATATTTTGATCCGCTATCACGACCTACCTAGTCCTACAGAAAAGCCCCTTGCGTGTGGAATGATTATGATTTTCGTGATCAGCATGCCAGTTACCCTTCTGAGCGAAGCTTCAGCGAAGTTAATTTTCAGATTTTGGGGCCCTGTGGAATAGTGTCGAGTATTTTCTTGGTGTTGTTTATGGGTAGACGGTAATAGGTCAGAATATTCGTTTGAAAGTCCTCTTAGGGGAGAGAGGTTTGCTATGTTCGTCGCGAATATCATTTTTATGTCGCGCTATCACTGCTTGTTTTTAGAGTTACAAACTATTGCAGTAGGATCCAATTTCCCATTCTAGCCAAGTCTAAATCAAGTTGTAGATTACCCCCTCAACTTTCGAACTGTAATCATGCTTCGCGCAAAGATAGAATTCCCC